TGGATAATTGAACTTTCACTTTTTTGAGTGAGCATTCCCAACTCCTTTAGTAAATCAATCAAAATGTCTCCTGTGGTGTGACATTATTTCGTGAGGATATGATCAGACCCCTTATCAGTTCGTTGGAATCAATCAAATAATCGTGTTCATTCGTTGGTTAATTATGAATGCATAAATAAAATATTCGCTGAAAATATCGCCCTCGTTGGTTGGTGTTGTACCATCAGTCCTCTCTGCAGCTATCAGTGCAGACTTGGTGGGTATATGGAGTTGTGTGGGGTAAGGGAGTTATCTAGTTAGAGGGGTCTCCTCTCTTTGGTCCGGAGGGGTGACTGAGGTTTTGCTAAGTACTGCTGCAGAATAGGGAAGGAAACTACTCTCTGACCTCTGGGAGGCCGCCGTGCAAGTGAAGTCGGAGCCCCTGCTGGCTGAGCCCAGTGCTGACGCCGTCTGGTTGCTGTGACAACTGAGGCAGGAACAGGGAGCGGAGCCCGGGGCAGAGGCGGCCGCGGCTGCAGCCGCTGCCGCCGCGGCTGCAGCAGTGCTATTGATCCCGGCTGGGGATTGGTACAAACCCGGGTGCCTAAAGCTGCAAAGTAGTTCCGGTCTTGAGTAGGGGTGTGATAGGGCGCGGAAAGTGTCCAGGGGGCGGATGGAGGTGGCAAAAGGGGAAGCCGCTGCCCCGGACGCCGCCGCTGCAGCCGCCGCCGCTGTTTACCCCCCACGTGAGGGTAGTAGTGCAGAGGCACGTGGGAATGGAAGGGGTAAGGAAGGCTTCCTGTGGCCGCAGCGTGAGTCATCATGTAGGTGTAGAAGCTGGGGTCTGCCGGGTGAGGCCAGGACATGGCCAGACGTTGCCTCTTATCCTTCATCCGCCGGTTCTGGAACCACACCTGCCATTACACACACATAGGAAAACGGGTTTTACTACAGTGCCTGCTCAGCACATGACAACAAGATAGATACACGGTATAATGGAAAACCATGTGGCCGCTTGCCATCTGCTTCTCAATGAGAACACAGGGAAAAATGGCCAGGTTCTTCATATGGAAACTGTCAAAACATCCTCCAGATCTGTTTTAAAGATCGTTCTGAAATGCAGAAAATGTTTCCAATAGGTTGGCATCTGTCCTTAATTTTTGGGAAGGTGCTGGATTTTAGGAAGTACAATGGTCTCTCATACTGGCTCAACTTGTCCCATAAAAAATGAACCCACTGCTACCCAAGTTCGCTGCTCCAAACTGCGAACATTATTGCATTTTACTTTTCACTCTCACCTTTAAAGGCCATCGTTTTATTGCTTTTTAAAATATGGGCTACCTTTCCCTTTGCCATATAATGCATATAGGTTACACCTGTTCAAATAGTGAATTGGAAACCCCTATACAAAACAAACAGGCGTTTTATAAATTAGTTTTTTAATCTTTGGATTTGTAGGATATGTAAAGCACTCCTTCTTTTTTATTATAGTAGTGCTTACAAAAAGCTGATTTAAACATATTTATATCAAATACCATAATTTCGGGAAGTAAAGTGTCAAACATCATAGGTTTATGAGACAAATTATTCTGAAATGTGTCTTGATTTGAGGAAGTATTGCCACACTCAGGTGTTTACTGTTAGAATAGAATGGCTCTGGCTCACTGAAATCTGGGTAATCAATACCCAGGCAGGCTAATCCGGTATATTTAATAGCACGTAAGAAGCTTACCATTTCGATACACATTACACATTACATAGACTTTGAAATGTTTGTTTTTCTATCCAGGACTGCTGTTTTCCGATGCTGCAGATTATAATGAACTCATCATTTCACATTCAGCTACACCCCTGCTAGCAACCGCAGGCCTTGCAAAATTATATTTACTTGAATGCAGTTTCCCTATTTCTTTTTATTCCATTACAATTAATTGTTCTAAAATTAAAATCTGTATTGGAACATTGATCCCATCCTCTGGCTGTAGCTCTCCTTTCTTTTTTTTTTTTGCTCACTGCTTTCCTATAAACTAATTTTTTAAAACTGTTTTCTACTTTTAAATGATTTACTGGCCTAGCCCTAAAAGTTGGTATGAAGTGTTACAAGAATGCCCCATGGGACTGGATATTGTTCAGATGTAAAATTGAACTTTGGAATGCTCACATTATAAAACTGGCGTCTGCACTGTTCATTCATTTCATGAATTGTTTAACTGGTTCCAGTGATGAAGTCAGGAGAATGGTGAGCTCCTCTTACCTTGATGGTTGTCTCGGGGAGGTTGAGGGCAGCTGCCAGCTCACATCTCCGGGGCCGTGACACATAATTCTCCCGATAGAACTCCTTCTCCAGCCTGCCGATCTGCTCCCGAGTGAATGCTGTCCTGTACCGGCGCACCTGGTCAGCAGCTGAGCTGGAGCTCCCCACGGGATTATTGAGGCTGCTTAATCCAGAGCTTGCAGAGGAGCTGGTGGTACTGGCCACTGAACCACTCTCTGTGAACCACACAAGCAGGACAAGACTGTCAGAAAGGACTTTTTCAGGAGACAGGCTCAATTCGCAAAACTAATATACCAAGATATGGATCTTTGTTAAGTAAACACTCCAAAGAAAAAAAACACAACAAACAAACAAAAAAAAAAACCTTTATTTATTGAAATATGAAAAAAAATTGTTACATAAACTTCTTATCCTTGAATTAAAGTTTGTGAATTGAGAAATACACACACACACACACATATATACATACACACACACATATATATATATATATATATATATATATATATATATATATATATATCTCAATCATCAACCAACTAATACCTAATACTAGTATAAAAATATCTGGTAGCATACCTTTTTTTTGCACTGTATTTTTACACGATTTATAATATTAAGTTTCCATACTAGACTTCTGTCACTACAATGTCATGTTTTGCACTAAAAACCGTGGATGCATTTGTGCATATAGGTGCGGTGTACACATATGGAAGAATGAAATATTCAAGCCTAATGACTGTATTCCCATAAACTATACCTTAGTGTAAGACAACAGGACTTGCATGTGGCTACCATTTGTATAATATTCTCAGGTGTACTGAACAGTATTGACTGAACTAGGAATGTCACTTTTGCAATGTGCATTTTAAGGTAGGAGCTAATAAACAAAAGATGTCCAGATGTATATTTATAGATTTTATAGTTAAACGTGGAAATACACTATAAGTGGAGATAGATTGTCGAACAATAATAATTAAAAAAATGTTTATTTAGGAAAAGTGTTTTTGTGTTATGTAATATGTATAGAAATACAATATTATTGTTGATCCGACCTGGTGATTATGGTAGCTGATTGATATTGGAAATTCAAAACAATCGATAAAAATTAAAGTTCATATATTTAGTTTGCATTCCCATTCTGTAAAAAAAAACTCTTTAAATGTGCCATTCATGTTTTGTTTTTTTTTTGGGGGGGGTTTTTTTGTTTGTTTTTTTTTTGTTGTTTTTGTTTTTTTACCTTTTTTAAGGTTGCATTTCTCAGTAATAAAGGCTAATATTGGGAAGTTGAATTAAAAATAGGTGTTGTTCTTGTTAATAGAAAATCTTTACTTGTTATGTTTATTAGAGTTTCTAATGTTTTTATTGGAGCATTGTAATTTTCTTTATTTTGCGAGTTTCCAATAAGCATTTTTCTAAAATATGTGGAAACGGAGAAAATAATGTTTAGTAAAGGAGGTAATGTGACGACATTTTTAAAAAGGTGTAAATGTTAAGAGACTTGCATAAAAAAATTGGTAAACAGTGCTAGGTAAGAGTTGTGTCCTCCGTGCTCTATATAATTACAGTAAGCATATTAAAGTAGATATGTTATAGTAAGTGTTTTATAATAAGTATAGTATAGTAAGTTATACCAACAAAGATACATGGATTAGTAGGAGGCTTACCTTTGCTGAGGGCGTCCTTCAGCTGAGTGCTACTCAGGCTGCTGGGGGAGCGCAGGGCTGAGCACCCCACTTCCACATCACTGCTCATATCTGCTTCTGAAGCCACGTCTGAATACTGGTTGGTTTTCTTCCCCCTGTCAGAGCCGGTGATCTCCGAAGTAGTCTCCCCGTTGGGGTGAGAGATTCCGAACAAAGTGTCTATTTCAAATTTGCCTTTGCTGGGTAGCTCCCCTATAGATCCATGCATGGAGGAAGTTAGCCTGGGACTCAGGCGGCCAGTGTGATGTGCATTTTCCAAGGCCTCCAACACTGCATTCCCAGCTGAGTCGGATAAATTAGAAAGCCTTTTGCCTGTGGTTGGGCTGTGCAGACCTCTTTCCATGAGAATCATCTCTTTTCTTATCCTTTCCATCATCTCAGCTTTGTGAAGAGAGAGAGGGAGAGAGAGGGAGAGAGAGAGAGAGAGAGGGAAGAGAAAAAAAAAGTCAAAGTGAAAGGGTTGGTGCTGTAGTAATGATGATGTGCCTGCAGCAGGGGCCAATTCACATTCAGCCTGGCAGTGTCTCTAAATATTATCTTCTTTTTTTCGCGTTGCGTAAAAATTGTAGGATGCCAAAGCGATGGAATGACTGGTCAAAATGACCCATACATCCTTCCCAGAGCAGAAATGTCATTCATCAAAAACTGGGGCTCGTCATTAAGGGATGAATGACGCCGTTTGAATAATCATTTATTGTAACAGTTTTATAAGCAAATAAATATAGGCTCCTGTCAGTTGGCAGTGAAGGCGGGTTCTGAGCAGACAAATAGATCCAGGTAGAGGCAGAGACAAGGAATGAACTGTTCGCTCCTGATCAGATCTTGCTTCAATTGCTGTGGGGTTTGGCCTCTGGGGTGAAATTGACAGTCTGATTAATAAAACGAGCCGAGCTACATTTCCCTTTCATTTAGGGGCATCATTATGCTCTGATTTTTTGTTTTGTTGGCTTTAGAGCCTAATGATGTTGGATTCCTTTTTTTCTATTTTCCATTTTTACTAAAGTTTCAATTTTGAAATTGATAGGCGAAAAATACATGCTGATGTGCATCGAAATTACATTTTATTAAAAAAATATTTAAATATATATTACATTTTTTTTAATCTTTTAATTTACTGCTAGAAAACATGGGAAAGAACACTGCCATTTTCACATTTCTTATTTACTAAGTTCACCCAGTGCATCAGTTTTCAACGATTGCAACATAATGACCTTTCCTAACTCAGTATACCTAATTATAATTACATGTTTAGGTAAGTTTTTTTGGTAAATTGATGCCAAAGTAAAAAAAAAAAAAAAAAAAAAGAAAAAAGATATTGCGTGTACCTGAACAGATACTGGAAATACAGATTCATGAATATTCTAGTTTTTTACACTACCCCATCTCTTCTTGTTTGTCTCATCTATCTGTATACCTCTATTTTAGCAGGTTATGAATAACCAGAATATATGGACTTTAAGGAGATCATTTGGTTTGTCACTTTTCTGTCCAGTATGCTATATAAACTGGAGATTTGGGTGTCCATTTCAAAGCCAGGTTCTGACCGGATTTCAGATTTGTATGTGAAATTAGATCTGTGTGTTTTTTTTTCTAATGGTTTTGTATACATAAGACATCAGAATGTAGCTTGGTATATCCAGAAGAAATCTGACAGGGATGAAATCGACGGTCCATTACAAGCCTCAGAATATACAGCCCTCAGTCGTTGGAAATTATGGAGAAGTGAGATTATTGTTGTTAAAGTGGCCACTTGAGTCATATTCAATTTCCAGGGGTTGATGACTTAAAAGGAAGACACAGTTATCTTATCCCTGTCGTTTGGCGCCCCCATCAGTTTGACTCTAGGCATTGTTCTTCCAGCCTGGAAGCATACATTCTTTCATCTCAGTGTGTTTGTCTACTTAACATATAAGAAAACAGTTGTACAATAAACAATCATTCGGGAGTAATCGTGGCTAATTTACCAAACCTGGAGAAAATAGATTTAGGATAGCTACCGACAGCAAGCAATCTGATTGCTCCAGAGTTTTGTACAACAGCCTATTTTTTTTGTTCCTGCAGTCATCTGTAAATACTAATGAAAGAAGGAATATGCATGTTTATTAAAAAAAGAACACCACTTGCTTCCTCCATGGATGTAATTCCTATGTATTCAGCAAATTATGTAGAGCATCAAAGGAGTCGTATTAGTACTGAATAGTTCAAGATAAACTGTGTAGCTTTGTCACTCCCACTAGGCTGACCCTACACTATACAATCTGATTGTACAATCTCCTTTTGATCTACCATCAACTATACAGTGCAAAGGCCTGCCTGATTTAGTACTATTTGAATTGTTGATTAGGTGGGGGTTATTTACTAAAAGGAGAGAGTGCAAAATCTGGTGCAACTATTAAAATAAACCAATCTACTTGTCAATAATCAGACAATCACAGGGTGATTGTTGTAAGTGTGTGACATTTAAAGTTAATGGAATTTTAAAAGTATTTTAAGACACCATGTGGTTGATTTACTAAAGATGGAGAGTGCAAAATCTGGTACAGCTCTACACTGAAACTAATCAGCTTCTATTTTTTTGGTCAATGCTTAATTGAACAAGCTGAAGTTAGAAGTTGATTGGCTACCATGCACAGCTGCACCAGATTCTGAGTGCACCATTTTTAGTAAATCTACCCGGTGTGTAGCTATATTACATAGTCGGGTAAATCTAATGGTATAGTAATTGAATTATAATCTGAACAAACACCATGCAATCTGACTGTACAATCTCCTTTAGAATTACCATCACCTATGTAATGTAAGGGCCTGCACACTGAATACAAACTGAATTGTTCAGGTTTGTAATCACGATTCATAGTTTTGGTAAAGGAAAAGAGATTGTGCAACCACATTTGAATAAGTATAACAAACATTATAACTTTTGAAGTAATGCAATTACTCCTGACTTTTGTGGATGCATGTGTCTCGTGCTTAAATTGATGTAAGCTTCTCTCTGATTCTTCACACTGGGGACTCAATGTATTTTGTTTCTTGTGTTGGTTGTTCAGCATTCACTAGCACATGTGAGATGTGTAAATCCTACAAATAAAGAAAGATGAAGTTTCTACTGAAAAGAAGTCTTACTGGGGAAATAGGATTTTGGATTTGTAGAGACACTTCGGTGCAATATTAGGGTCTACTGATAACAGTCACATCCCCCTGTATGTAACTGGGCTTCATGGCCTCATGTGTGTCGTCTTTCAATGGAGCTCCAGACTGATAAATGAAAACTATTCTGTGCAGCAGAGAAGGTAATGTGTATGACTTACAGGATACAGACTGGAAACCTTTCTCTTTCTGCAATCATCTGACTCATTTTCTGGTCATTTCTTGGTTTAGGTTAACTGAAAAGCCATGACAACTCTAAGGTTGAAAGTCAATTTGCTAATGTGGTATGTCCAAAGATATTTGAATTTTCCTTCACAGATTTATTCTAAAAACACACAGCCTATATATATATATATATATATATATATATATATATATAATGTGTTTAGTTAT